GCTGTTGTTCCTGGGTCTTGCCTGGTGTCAGTGCTTATTCTCTGGGTTGTAACAAAGGGCCTGTTCCTACTGCTGCGTGTAAAATCAGACAGAATTTTGTCTCCATGAAAGTAGCTAAGCCAAGTCCCATCCTAGAACGTGGAGGAGCGGTGCTCTTTAGAGCATAGCATATTGCTATTTTTCATTACCCTCTGGTCTCCAAGTAGATCTCCTATGGCAAAAGTCTGATTCTGGATACAGAAAATATTCCCTTTCTCAAGTCAAATGATGTTCCAGTTAATGCACTAGTGGTTCTTAAGGAATGGTTTTGCAACAGTAATGCTTTCTGGCATAGCCTGTATTCTGTACCTGTTAGTCACTACAGCGACATGTTGTAAATGAGGTTGTAAAAGCTAAACAAGCCATAAAATTGGATTCTTAATTTAGGGTACAGATAGCTGCACTATTTCCAGCACCTAGATGTGCTTCACTCTGAATTAGATATTGCTGGGCTCTGAACTGCAGAAAAGTGCTGTGGAAGGTTAAGGCTTCACCATCTGTAATGCAGCTAAAATACCAGTGTTATTCACACTGAAGCTATAGCGTTTTTTGCCAGCTACTGTATGATTTCAGAGCACACATGTTAGCAGGTTATTAAGCATGAGTCATCTTGCCATTCTGAATGAAGGACTTATATAATGTTTAAAATGTGATTTAGCAAACAAGAGCAAACTGTCAGCCAGCAGCATGCTGTCTGACTGAGCAGACAAGGTCTCTCTTCAGGAAACTGGGCAGATAATGATGGATTTGCTGTGCTTTCTACAGGGTGAGTCCCTCCCTGCCAAAGCACTGTTGTCAACTTCTGCTGCAGTCAGTGAACCAAAGACATACTGCTTCTGAGTAACTGCTATCTTTGGATTTTCAGCCCTGCACAAACAATCTAGATTGTGGCAGTTGACCTGATCTCATTTCCCTGAGGGGAAAATGGTTCTTCAGCCAAACTGGTCTTTCTGTCTTCCCTAAACACATCCCTGGTCATGCAGCAACTGAGCAGCTCCCTGCTTTCCCATGGGTTTGCACTGATGTAGCTTCTAACTATAGCCCTGACTATAACTCTTCCTCCTTTCCCCAGTTCACTTTCCAGATTCTCCTTTTTGCCTTGTATGAGTATGGTGTTACTTCTCCCATCTTCCAGTGTTTCTTCTGTGGTGGGGTGCATTGTAAGTCCGTATCTTTGAATATACCACGCAGCAGAAGTGCGCCCTGGGCGTTTTGACCCCTGTCAAGACAGATGGTGCATCTTTAGAAGGTTTAAAACAAATAACCAAATGTACAAACAACTCTTAGATGTTTAAAAGCTATATGTTTGAAAAGGGGAGCCTTGACCAGTGCCTAAAAAGGCTTGCAAGGTAGGGTCCTACTGCATTTATTATACTGCATAGAGGCACTGGTCATGCAAGGAGCTTTGTGTTGCAGGTGATGCTGTGAGACCTGTACCATTGCTGGGATTTCATGTGGGCAATAACAGAAGCCGGAATTTGAGTTATTGTGGCAGTTGTTGTCTGTGCATGCACCCAGGCTTCAGTGCAGAAACAAGCTTGAACCTTACACGATTTTAACTGTTTCCTAATGCTTCATCCAGTTCATCCATTATCCAGGATTTCCCTCCAGGTCATGCTTAATTTCAATGATGTTGGAAAAATATCTAGGAGTTTAATAAACATCTAGAAATTCCCATGGTGGCTGCATTCTTGACGCCACCAGTGAGGCTGGGTGAGGAGGAAAGACCCATGGCGAGCTTCATGGAGGTAATTGTTTCTAGTTTTGGTTTGCACAGGCCACCCTTTGCTTGAGGAACGAGAGTGTGGGGGCAGGGATACACAGGCTGCAAAAACACTGAAACACAGCCTCCTCACCTCCCTAGGCACAGAGGAAACACAGTTATCTGCAGCAAGCTGGCAGGTGGCTTCAAAAAGAAGTGAGCAGGCAGTAATTTGTGTTGATTTTAGGGAAAGCATTCTCCAGGAGCAGTTAGCCACCATGTAGCTTTCTTTTCAAGCTATGACACAGTTGATTTTGCATCTAAAAATGCTTGTGTAGAAGAGGATGGGGAAGAAAATGAGGTGTAGCATTGACATGAATGCTGCATTTCAGTTGGGAAAAATGTAAAGGGCTTTTCTGCCTATATGAAAATATAAGTGAGATGAGAACAATGGGAACTCCAAGTCTTGCAGGTCATGTTCACAGAGCACAGGAGGGAGAAGGTTAGGGAGAGCCTCCAAACAGGCCTGCAGAAATGAGCAGAAGTTCCCAGTTACTTTTAGCTGTCTGAGAAAGTCACAGGAGATGACTCCTCTGTCATCAGCTGTATATAAAGAGAGACACTCAGACTTTACTATCATCTGACAGTGCTGCGGTTTCTTTGGTTTCTTTGGTATCCCTGCATTACTTTAATGAAAAAAGTTCCACTTACATGATTAATAACTTAAAATATATATATGTACCAAATTGAAATTATATTGATATGTGATCCCCTGTTTGAAAAAGTGACCTCTAGCAGGTAACAGCTGGTGAGATAGGAAACATGGATATTGTCAGAGGAATATAAACGTACATTTAATCTCTACTAATTTAGCTGAGCAGTAACCTCAAAACAATTTCGGCCCAGCCTGTGCCCAGCAACCATGAGATTTTGAGTTGTTTGAGCTCTTTTATTACTGATCTTCTCCAGCAACTCAAATAACCTTCATTTGGAAAAGTAAGACAATAGTGTAAAGGAAGAGAGACTGTCCAGTTCTGTAGTGAGGACCCTGGGTGTGGGCTATGTGTTAGGGTCCGTCTGTGAACTGCTGGCTCTTTTACAGACGTCTGAAGACCGAGTTACCTGAACCTGTTAAAGTCAGCTATAGCTTCATAGTTGACTTTGATCTATTTCAGCCATGGTCTGTCGGGATGTTTACAGTAGAAGGTAATAGTTTCCCACCTCGGAAACGGACTACTGAGGGGGTCCAGTATTGTGGTAGTGGGATCTTTGTGAAGACTGGTTTGTGCTGTCTTTCTCAATGTGATCATTGCCCTAGGATTGTACAGACGTTTGTGTAACTATATCTCATTTGGTTGTGGTAAAAAAAAAAAAATGTTGTTATTGCAGTAGTTAAGTAATAAAAATACCTGTATTACAGGAAAATGGGCATTGACTGCAGCTTAAATCTGGACGTGTGTGGAATACAGAACATTATAAGCAAAATAAAAGTTAAAAAAGAATCATTAACAGCAAATGTTCCTGTAACAGATGATTTAGAGCTGATAACAAGAGGCCAACAGACATACACAAGCTGAGCATTCCCACTGCAACCTTAATTTTCTTCTGAGCCCTGAGGACACCCGTGGGCCTTAATAGCACCGCCCAGCCTGCCCTGGGACCCCCACCGACCCCCTGCCTATGGCCCCAGAGCCCAGTTTCAACTCAGCCTGGGTCTGTCAGTCCGGTGCCTAATGTCTGGGGCTGGGGCTGCCTCAGCAGCCTGACCCCCAGCCCCTGTTGTTCATCAAGCAGTGACCAAGCCCCATGTCATTAGTTCCGGACATACCTTATAGCCATGCTTATGTACCATCAGAAGCGTACTACTCAGGCTGTTGAATTTTCATAACAGATGCCTCAGTAACCCACTCAGGGAAAAGAAAGCTACAGTCCAAGAAGTTACCTGTAAACAATTTCAGTATTTTTAGCTGAGTTATGTTGCAATTCCTTGCTCGTCTTTGTTTATTGAAAGAATGGTTAATCTTTAAATTTACTTGATTTTTTTCCTTCTTCTCCCCTCTATTCACTTAAATGAATGAAGCACCTCCTGCATCATGTTTCTTTATCTTTTTTACGGTGATAAAAGAAATGCAGATCAGAGAAACAACTGCAAGTTCTTCTAGAGAGTCCTGATGCTGAAGTCCTGAGAAGTTGAGGGCTTGCAGTCTTGTGTGGGATGAGACCTTGCCTAGAAAGTTGCTTTACAATGTGAGCAGGAAGTAGTTTCTGGCAGGAAAAGATGAACATTTGATAGATTTTGTATTTTCACATGTTACCTGAAACATGGATTCATGGCTTTGGCCCCGGAGGTCCATGCCTTATGCTGGAAATTTCTAAATAGCTCTGATGAAAATGGCATTTGCCTTCAACAGAATCATGATTTAGATCTGGGAAAATAGATAATATGATAAAAAAGCAAAAGGATAACTCTCAGAGTTTAAGGAAGGTTATGACTTAAGCCATGCAGATCTCTTAAGGTTCTCTTAAGCCTCTGGACAGCTGGTAACTGTCCGTATAGCACAGTGAAGGGTGAACTTGTTAATTTTTTTTGTTATCTTAAAAACTAAAGTTTCTTGCCTTCATTTTGATGCCTCTCAAATTCAGTTGAAAAGAAAGTATTTGACACATTTGAGAAATGCGCATAAGTGATGTAAAATGACATGAAGTTTGATCAGGTGCAGAGGGAGTGTCTGAGTTTGTGCTTGATTGCCGCCCTGGTGTTCAAAATTAATTGTATGTTGTTAGATTTTTTTAAATTTTCATTTCCTAAGTATGAAGACACAATCACCATCTTCTGGGTTGCGTTTGCATTTTGTCAGAGATTTAAGCTTCAAATCATATTGCCACTGATACTGAACTGGTTTGTTTAAAAAGCTGGTTTATCTGATTTTAGTTGTGTATTGTGGGGATATTCCTTTCCATGGGTTTAAAGGCAGATTTTTTGCCAGCGGTATGAGGCCACTTAAAAGCAGGTGCTGTTTTGAGGAATGTGTTTGGGAGCGCATGAGATGAGAGTGAAATGGGTTTAGCAGAGCTTGTGAACATTTCACTAGCCTGGGCAAACATTTTCTTGCTTTGGGAGTGCTGAAGAGCAGGGTTTTGCTCTCTATTTGCAGGTGAGCAGCAAGCATGACCTTGGCAACATGCGACCGTGAGTGCCAGGACCCTGTGATCTGAACCGCATCTTCAGCTGACTTTGAGGTGCTGTTGATCCTGTACCATGGAGGACTGCCTTCACACCTCCTCTGAAAACCTCTCCAAGCTGGTGAGCTGGGCCCACAGCCACGGAACCATCTGCAGCCTCATCCCCAACCTCAAGCACCTACTCTCTGAGGGGGCCCACGGCAACCTCACGGCCATGTGGGGCTGTAGCGCTGGCCATGCCTACCACTGGCCCCTGGCTGCCACTTGCCGGGCAGGCTCCCAGGAGCGAGTTTGCTTCCAGGACAGCCGCAGCTTCAACTCAGACAGCCCCAGCATGCTGGGGGTGCCCTCAGAGGCACAGGCCAGCCCCCTGGAGCGCTACCCAGGCCGGCCAGGGAAGGCCAAGCTGGATTGCACCCGCACCCGCGACTCCTGTGACTTCTCCTACTGCAGTGAGCCGTCAGAACTGGGCGAGCCCGTGGAGGAGTACGAGGATGAGGCCACCCTCTTTGACATGGTCTGTGAGTCCTCTGTCACCGATGAGGACAGCGACTTTGAGCCACACCCCCACCGGGCCCCTGCTGGCCCCCGCAAGCGGCCGGCTGCTGGCCTGCCCACCACTGCCCAGGCCCAGCCTGCCGACGAGGGCGGTGGTGAGGTTCTCCTCAAGAAGATCAAGCAGGAGCTCCCCGAAGACTACTACATAGTGGCCAACGCCGAGCTGACGGCCGGCGCCGATGGGCCGGCCCT